ATCAGATTGAGAGGAATTGAATTGAAAATGAATTGGATTGATGAGAAATTATAATGAGGTGTAATCAGAATTAGATTCTTGTTGAAGTTGTTTACCAAAACTGTCTGAAATCGGAGTAGGAATGACATTGATGCATATAAATTATTTACTAATTCACATGAATCAGAATGATAACTAATGTGATTCCTAAAGTACCCCTACTTAAACTAATTTATTGTATATGCTAATTATTTTTAGTAAAACTTTTATTCTTTTATTTTTTTTTTAATTTTTTACTAGAGAGAATAATTTTTTATCTTTTATAAAACTTTTAAATTTTCCTAATCGCATAGATTACTTCCAAATTTGATATGAAAGAATAGTTTTTTATTTGCTTCTAACTCTTAATCACCCTAAACCCTATTAGAAATAGGGAACTTTAATGAAAAGTGTAGACATCGAAATTTCGGTAAATAAATGTTGACCGATAAATCAAAGTGTCAACGCTCATGTATTGCATAAATTTTACACGTAGCATGTGACTCAACGAAAATTGAAATGAGTTTGAAAAGTCATCAAATAAGACACGTGTCAACACCTGGCAGAAACGACTTATTTCATCTGGGATATTATATTCAAAATTAGGTCTTGGAAAATTCTATAAATACAAGCCCATTTCATTCATTTGGGGGGACCAATTCATTAGGCAAAACTCTTGAAGCTCTGAAGCTCTGAAACTCCGAAGCTCTCAAGTATCCAGGTTCCCGAAGAATCAAGAAAGCGTTATTCGTTCATCGTTCATCCTAAGATCAAGCCCCAACGGCCCTTTGGATCAACAATCATCCACCAATTCAAGATCAAGCCCCGACGGCCCTTGAAGAAAGTGTTCTTCGTTCATTGTTCTTCCAAGATCAAGCCCCGACGGCCCTTGGATCAACCATCCACCAATTCAAGATCAAGCCCCGACGGCCCTTGAAGAAAGCACCATCGTTCATCATCCGTTCATCCAAGATCAAGCCCCAACGGCCCTTTGGATCAACAACGTCGACAAATCCACACATCCAACCGTTCTTCAAGATCAAGCCCAAAAGCCCTTGAAGATCCGTTCATCACTGTTCTTCAAGATCAAGCTCAAAAGCCCTTGGAGATCCGTTCATCACTGTTCTTCAAAGATCAAGCCCAAAAGCCCCTTTGAAGATCCGCTCAAATCCACATTCAAGATCAAGTTCACGGCCCTTGAAGAACGTTCATCCTTAGATCAAGCCCAACGGCCCTTTGGATCAATCACACATCCACAAATACACACCTTACGGAGATCGAATCAGAGGATCAAATTTGAGAGAGATTGTAACCCAAAAACATCATCAAATACATAATATTTGTTTGTGCACGTTCGTTCTTGTCTCTTTCGTTTCAGGAATTTTCCTTGTTCACAAATTGGCACGCCCGGTGGGATAATCTCTGCCTCTCATCTCTTTCTCCGTTCAAGAAATTCAAGCGCACTTCTAAAATTAATGGCATCAAGGAAGGCTCATAACTGTTCCCGCAACCGGCACAAAGAACAAAAACGTCCTCGTCGCAACTGGTGTCACTTTGGGCATCACGACTCGAAGCATGGCAAGAGCTACTTCTGCCGCCTCTTTCACCTCCGCATCAACTCTGCCAAGGGAACAAAAGCACCCAAGACACGAGCCTTTGATCACCTTAGCCTCACTAAGGGCACCAAGGGGGGAAAGCCCAAGGAAATACTCCAAATCCATGCTCTCCGATGCCGATTCAAGCGACAGTTCAGCCATGCAAGTCATGACCATTGGAGCAACTTCAATCGATGAGCAGCTGGCTCAAATGAATGAAGCAATCGCAAGGCTAACCCGAACTGTGGAAGAAAAAGACTTGCAAATTGCAGCACTAGTCAACCGATTGGAGGCGCAAGACGGCGATAAACCCGACCCAGAGGATGATCCACTAAAGGGAGGAGCTGGCGGAGACGAAGAACCCCCGGTGAAGAAAATCGATGGGAAGCCGGAGCCAGACCAAGCAGCGGCACTCATGGGATCTCTTTCTATCCAGCAGCTGCAGGAGATGATCACCAACACCATCAAGGCACAGTACGAAGGGAGCTCACATACCTCATTGTTCTACTCGAAGCCCTATTCCAAGAAGATTGATGCCCTAAAGATGCTAAGGGGTTATCAACCACCAAAGTTCATGCAGTTTGATGGAAAAGGAAACCCAAAGCAGCATGTTGCACATTTCGTCGAAACTTGCAACAACGCAGGGACGGAGGGAGACTACCTCGCCAAGCAGTTTGTGCGCTCGTTGAAAGGAAATGCCTTTGAGTGGTACACGGACCTAGAGCCTGAGTCCATCAACAGCTGGGAGCAATTAGAACGGGAATTCCTCAACCGCTTCTCTACAGCACCCGCCGCACTGTGAGCATGCTAGAGCTAACGAGCACAAAGCAGTGGAAGGACGAGCCAGTCATTGACTACATCAACAGATGGCGCACTCTAAGCCTCGACTGTAAAGACAGGCTCTCGGAAACCTCTTCAATCGAGATGTGCATCCAAGGCATGCAATGGGGTTTGCAATACATCCTTCAAGGCATTAAACCGCGGACCTTCGAGGAATTGGCCACTCGCGCCCATGACATGGAGTTGAGCATCGCCCATCATGGGAAGAAAGAACCGATCGCCGACTACAAGAACGACAAAGCTCTTGGGATAAAGGTGGAAAAGGCTGCATGGAAACCCACCAAGGAAGTGATGACAGTCAACACATCTCCCGTCAAAATATCCACACGAGGCAAGGCAATTCAAGTCGAAGGCTTTCGTGATCAAGAGATGCGTAGACGCACTTTGAAGGAGCTCGAGGAGAAAACTTATCCATTCCCCGACTCTGATGCGGTTGCCATGTTAGAAGACTTGCTAGAAAAGAAGGTGATCAGCTTGCCTGAGTGCAGATGGCCAGAAGAAATGAATTGCACCGACAGTCCAAGGTACTGTAAATTCCACCGCTTCATCAGTCATCCGACAGAAAAGTGTTTCGTGCTGAAAGATCTCATCATGAAGCTAGCTCAGAAAGGAATCATCGAGCTAGATCTTGACGATGTGGGGGAGTCAAACTGTACCACCTTCACTTCTGACTCTTCCGACTCAAAGTTTTCACCTCAACCACTGGGGGCATCCTCCAAGACAAGCAAAGTAGAAGGATGGACTCAAGTCACTCCTAAGAAATTGCACAAGAAGCATACGTCTCCTCCACATGTCCGCCAATCGGAAAGGGGGCAAAGCAGCTCTCGTCAACCTTCAAAGCAACATGAACGTGTTGAAGATGATGAAATTTCGACACATAGATCGTCCATCCCCATCACGATGCGTGATTTCTTTCCTGAAGACTTCTTCAATCACTCGGTCAAGGCTCCTTGCTATGAAGATTGTGAGGAACGCCTCTCCAAAATTACTTGACAAATTCACCATGCTCCTTGTTCGCACGAGCCTAAACTGCACGAATCAAAGCTCATTGTCCACACGAGCCTAAACTGTAGGACACAAAGCTCCTTGTCCGCACGAGCCTAAACTCGTGCCTCGTGCCTGCTTGCCATGTGTTCGAGTCAACCTTCAAGAATCAAGCCTCAACGGCCCTTGAAGAAGCTTTCAGCCAAATTCGAAATCAAGCCTCGACGGCCCTTGAAGAAATTCCAAACAAAAGTTCAAGAACAAGCCTCAACGGCCCTTGAAGAAATCTCAAGCCCAATTCAAGATCAAGCCTCGACGGCCCTTGAAGAAATTTCAAACAAAAGTTCAAGAACAAGCCTCAACGGCCCTTGAAGAAATCTCAAGCCCAATTCAAGATCAAGCCTCAACGGCCCTTGAAGAAATCTCCAGCCCAATTCAAGATCAAGCCTCGACGGCCCTTGGATCGACATCTACAGTAAGGGACTTCAAAACGCATCTCCTACACGTGACAATCACATGTATACGACGTGCTTTGAAGTGGGGGCATTTGTAGACATCGAAATTTCGGTAAATAAATGTTGACCGATAAATCAAAGTGTCAACGCTCATGTATTGCATAAATTTTACACGTAGCATGTGACTCAACGAAAATTGAAATGAGTTGGAAAAGTCATCAAATAAGACACGTGTCAACACCTGGCAGAAACGACTTATTTCATCTGGGATATTATATTCAAAATTAGGTCTTGGAAAATTCTATAAATACAAGCCCATTTCATTCATTTGGGGGGACCAATTCATTAGGCAAAACTCTTGAAGCTCTGAAGCTCTGAAACTCCGAAGCTCTCAAGCATCCAGGTTCCCGAAGAATCAAGAAAGCGTTCTTCGTTCATCGTTCATCCTAAGATCAAGCCCCAACGGCCCTTTGGATCAACAATCATCCACCAATTCAAGATCAAGCCCCGACGGCCCTTGAAGAAAGTGTTCTTCGTTCATTGTTCTTCCAAGATCAAGCCCCGACGGCCCTTGGATCAACCATCCACCAATTCAAGATCAAGCCCCGACGGCCCTTGAAGAAAGCACCATCGTTCATCATCCGTTCATCCAAGATCAAGCCTCAACGGCCCTTTGGATCAACAACGTCGACAAATCCACACATCCAACCGTTCTTCAAGATCAAGCCCAAAAGCCCTTGAAGATCCGTTCATCACTGTTCTTCAAGATCAAGCCCAAAAGCCCTTGGAGATCCGTTCATCACTGTTCTTCAAAGATCAAGCCCAAAAGCCCCTTTGAAGATCCGCTCAAATCCACATTCAAGATCAAGTCCACGGCCCTTGAAGAACGTTCATCCTTAGATCAAGCCCAACGGCCCTTTGGATCAATCACACATCCACAAATACACACCTTACGGAGATCGAATTAGAGGATCAAATTTGAGAGAGATTGTAACCCAAAAACATCATCAAATACATAATATTTGTTTGTGCACGTTGTTCTTGTCTCTTTCGTTTCAGAAATTTTCCTTGTTCACTGGTGAGGCTTATGTTACTGCTATGATTGGTGAGGCTTATGTTACTGTTGATGGGTTCGGTTAACTGGGTTTTCATTCCGTTTCAGATTTGTTTCGACACACACTTACAGAAATTTGCAGGATGCTGTGGTGATATTTTCTATGATTTAATCAAATGAACTATTTGATGTCAGTAGTTTGAGGGCTCTGACCGCAACACACAGTAGCAGCAGCGATGAGGGAGGAGAAGCGGCACCAATTGATGCAGAACCTATTCGGTGATCAATCTGAAGAGGAAGAGGAAGAGGTCGACTCTGAGCATGAGTCCAATCCCCAGCCCGATTCTGTATGATCCTCTAATTTCAAGTTTCCTTTCTATTCTGATTCCAAAAGCATGTTTGGGAATGATTAGGGTTTCAATTTCTACTTTAATCTTAGCTGAAGGAAGATATAGGTTGTCTTTTTTGTTAATGGCGGTGGATGATTTGGATGAAAGTATGAATCTTGGTAATTTTTTTGCTTGCAGTTGTTTGGGCCTGGACTGAGGAAGTTTTGTGGAATGAGATTCTTATGATTAGTCAATTTTAGTGGGATTGTTGTTTCAATCTGGATAATGAATGATGTCGTTTTCCTATTCGGTCTGTCCTTTGACAGTGTAGCAGATCTGGAATTTTGTGAAATGCTCTTTATTGAGAATGAAGTGCCACTAATTCAAGACGAATAAAAAAAATTTGCACATTTTCTGATTAGAAATATAGAATTGGTTTTAAATTATTTTCTTGACTGTTTGGTTCTGATGTGCTTTACCGATAAATCATGGGTTTGCAAGATATTTTTTGTTGTTTTCTCTTGCCGTTGACTGGGGATGTGGGTGATCCTGTTACCCTGTACACCGCAGTACAGGGCGGTAACAAGATTATCTATTGTGCTACTGCACTCTCTATAATCAGCGGAGACCTCTATAGGGCTGATCAAGGAGGGGTCTACAATCTTACCAAAGCATTTCAGGTGTGGTCGTTATTGCCATATCCTTGAAATGCTCCTTTTTGACATTTAGTAATCTGTTTCGGTTTTGATGTCCTTTAAATGATTGGGTTGGTTCAATGTTGGATTTGAATTTTACCCTTCGAGAGTTGCTTATGTGAAGCTTTTGACTGTTTGCATTGCAGGACTATAACAACAAAATGGCGCAATTACGAGCAGGAAAGAGTAGCAAGAGCAAACTTACAATTGTAAAGTTCAAGACTCTGGAGTCAGTGGATGGATGGGAAGTTCGTCAGGGGACTTACTTTGGGTCGGACCCTCGACCGGTAAATGCCTGTGTGCAAAGGATTGTCATGGCAGCGAGATCATGTCGCTCTGGGAAGCTCTTTTGACGGCCGCCGTTGTTGGAGGTCAGTCTCTTCCTCTGCTTCCACTCCACTCCATTCATTTTAATTTTAATTTTTTGTTTATAGAGAGAGGACTTAGAAAAACAAAAAATATATTTATTTTTGTAATGGTTGTCATGAATTTCCTTTTGACTAAACAAAACATAATCAGTTTATTTGCTTTACTGAGAATGTAGCGTTTATTGTGATTAATTTCGGGTTTTGGAGCTGATATGAGTTCCGAGCCGTATCCAGAGTAGATTTTGGGGTTGCTTGGGTCTAAGAATATTCGGTTACTCTAGCGCATTGACGATTAATAGACGTAATTCTTTTTACCGTTGTTTGTGTATAAGTATGCGACTTATATGGTATAACGTGACAAAGGTTGTTTCTCTTCCAATACATCAACATATATTAAAAAGAAATATTTAAAGAGGGCTGGAACCCAGTCGAAGCTGGGGGGCTAGGCCCTCACGCCCATAATATTTTACTTGAAAAAAAGATATAAATGGGGGACATAGTACCTAAACCCCGACGATCAAAAGCAAAATTGTATACAACCACTCCAAGTAGTCGCATCACATGTTGAATTCAAAAGGTTGACGCCTCATATAATTGAAAAGAAGGAAATTAAAGAGAAACTAAAAAAAATAAAAAATATTGAAGTTGGTGGGTGGGAAAGCAAAAGTGCCGACAACGAAATCTTTGATCCACACGGTATGTTATCTGAAAAGAAAAATAAAATGCTGATGATGATGAATGAAGAATTGAAATTAAGAAATGAGATTGGCATATATTTCGTAGTTTATATTGAATTAGGCTAGTGTGAATTGAAACAAGTTAGAAAACGCACCTTAATAATTGTGAATGTCAATGTGTGGGATGTGAGCAATCTTAGGCCAGTCCTCACCTGTTTCTTTCTTGCATCTTTCGCTTAACATGGGGCATTTCTCAATCACCAATGTATTTAAACAGGGGAGTCCACGAATCCCTTCTGGCAGTGATGCCAAATTAGAGCAATCCTTAATTGTAAGCTTCTGAAGTGACGTCAGATTGCTTATTTCTTCTGGCAGTGATCCCAAATCCTCAATTTCTTGGAGCCACATAAATGTTAATTTGGAGAGATGAGGGGAAGAAGAAGCGGCAGAAACATCAACACCAACATCATGTGGAATATCAGATGCTCCTCTAACAAACAAGGATTCAACAACCTTCCAGCTGCTCCCCTTGAGAAGTATTCTCTCCACATTTGGATACAGAGGCATGGAAGTTAGATTAGGACAATTCCGGATGGTCAATGCAGAAAGAGAGGGAAAAGAAGGCAACGACAGTATTTCCGTTGATGAAGAAGAAGAAGCAGTGTTATGAGTGTGGGCCCTCCACCATCCCTTCAGAACAGGGCAATCTGCTATGTAGAGCTCCTCCAGGGAGGGAAAGAATGAGATCCTCATCATCTCATCACTCATACTATTACTGCTCTCTTTCTCTGATAGTAATATGTACTCCAACTTCTCCAACCCTTCAAGTTCCAGTTTCTTAAGGGAAGGCAAATGATCCAAGGGTGGAAGATGTTGGCATATGTTACAACTCTGCAATTCGAGATTAACAATATTAATGAGAGAAGAAAACCAACTCGCAAACCTCACACCACCATAATACGACACGGTCAACTGCTTTAGATTAGAATGGGGTTGCAATACTTCCATTGACTTTATAATATCCTCCTCATCAACTGCCTTTACATCTTCTATCTCTTTCCACCTTAAATCCAAGGAATGGAGATGCTGTTTGTCCTTGAGAGGTGTACCAACATTTGATTCTGACACCACATCTTTCTCGTGACTCAAATTTTCAATTTCCAAGTCTCCCCTTAATTCCTTAAGGCTTCCCAGCTCAGCAAGACCAGCACTACCGCCCCTCTCCAAACAATTGCTTTCGCTCAAAACAAATCTATTCAATGTACGAACACCATTCAATTCACCAATTCCACGTGGCATTGCACTCAAAATCTCACACTTATCCAAGATGAGATGCCTTAAGTTGATCATTTTTTTAATGTCTCTAGGCAATTCCACAAGATTCCAACACCCTGTGAGATCTAGTGTTTCCAAATTCGAAAGTCCAACTATCCAATCTGGAAGTCTCTCCATGTGATTCCTACTAAGATCAAGATATCTCAAATGTTTCATTTTTCTAAGACAATTAGGTAATGTTGTAATTTCTAATTCATTGAAACTTAACATCCGTAATGACTTAAAATTTGAAACAATTGTAGTACAAAGTGCATTACATGGGGAACTTAGGTAACCATCCCAAAAATCTTGCTGAAGAAAAAGAAAAGTTCGTATCCTGTTTGCCTTTAGCAAGGACGTTGGCACTTCCCATTTCGACAAATTAATCTCATAATTGAAAGATACGTGAAGAAGCTTTTCATGAAAGTTCTTTTGGTTCAGATCAACTACGGCGCTTCCAACCCCTGACACAAATATTGCAAGTTCATTCATGAGATCGTGCATTTTACAACTTTCTATTATACCAAACTCATCTTTTTCTTCTTCTTGAAAAAACAATCTCCACAACAACTCCCTGTAATATTCATACGCAACATCCTCCAAACCCTTGTTTTCATCGGATGACTTAATGAACCCTTGCGCCACCCAAAGTCTAATCAATCTCTGTACAGAGATCTTATAATCAGGTGGGAACAAGCTACAATAAGCAAAACAATGCTTTAGATGTGATGGGAGCACATCATAACTTAGTTTAAGTGTTGGTAAAATATCATTTTCTTTCTGACTTATTTTTGAAAGTTTATTTTCTTTGAAATTCAACCATTCTGTTTCGTTATGCTTGGTGCGCAGCATCCCACCTATCGTCCTTATAGCAAGTGGAACTCCTTGACATTTTTTTGCAACCTCCTCCCCAACCGCCTTAATTGTTGGATTATGTGGCTCTTTTCCTTCTTTAAAAGCCATTTTCCTAAATAAAGACCAACTTTGCTCTTCATTCAAACCCCTTTAAGGTGTATGATTTAGCTGTGTCTGATGTTGTTGCAACGGTTTCACTACGAGTGGTAATCAGTATTCTACTACCTTCTCCACCACCCATTAACAAGTCCTTCAAGCTAAGCCACTTCTCTCGATCCTCATTCCACACGTCATCCAACACAAGTAGGTACTTCTTCCCATCTACTTTTTTTCTAAGATCATTTTGCAATTGCTCTATCCCATTATGCTTGGATTGAAGGATTTTCTTAACAACTATATCCAACTCAAATACATTAGAGACACATGTCCATATTTTCAACTCAAAATGATTTTGAATCACCTCATCGTTGAATATGAGTTGGGCAAGTGCAGTTTTCCCCAATCCTCCAATTCCAACCATGGAAATGGTTGACACATTCTCAGTTGAGATGGGATCCAACAAAAGCTGGATAATTGTCTTAGTATCTTCATCTCTCCCTATAATATTTTCCTTAGGTACAAATGAGTGTGTGACCCTCTCTCTCTTTACAAATCGTGTATCTTCATGATTTACTTCTAAGTGAAAGATTCTACGAGATGCAACCTCACTAAGCCTCCTGTTAATATCTTTTATCTTATGACCCATCTTTAGCCCAAAAACAAGTTGATTTGAGCTAGAAAAGAAAAGGCGCACCTGTAAGAATTTGAATAGACATAATCATTATTGCGAAAGAACTGTATTAATTAAGTTAATAGAGTTTTGTAACGTTAAGTTATATGTAACATTCAAAATAATAACATAGACAACTTATTGCAGTTAATTGAGAGACCTATTGTATTCCTAATAGGTGGATATCTATAGGCTAATGTGACTATGAAAAGGTTCTATGAGATGCAACCTCACCAAACCTCTTGTTAATATCATCTTAAGACCCATCTTTTAGCCCAAAAGCAAGTTGATTTGAGCGAGAGAAAGAAGAGGCATACCTTTTTTGACAGCTTTGTATTTTCAGGCACCATTTTTCTCTGTTGATTTTTAGTATTAAACTCATCCAACACGTCATCGGCTTCATAAATTGCGTCTTCTACGCTTTGGAGCCACAGTTTGACTTCATTGTTGGCTTGCTTTTGCTCAGCGTCAAGAAGAATAGCTTGGAATCCAGCAACTGTCTCCTTGAGCTTCTGGAACTCATCTTGGACACCCCAAATCAATCCGATCTCTTGGAAAGCTAGGGAGCCTAGCCTCTCAATGATCCCTCCTGCAACGTTGAAGAGAACTCCTTCCGCCATTTCTTAGATTCAAGACAAGAAAAAACACAATGAAGCGAATTAAAGTAGAAACTTATAACTGAGAATATGGTTTTGCGTAGTACAAGATGGCTCGTCCCTGCTCGTCTTTATATGGCCCATTCATCCATCCACCCACCCATACGTCATTCCATGAATAAATTAAAACAAAGACTTGTCACCAATTCACTAATGCCGGCCTGGTCCTTAACCTTTAGTTGTATTTTTTAAACCCATCTGCAATTTTATCAGTTCGTGAAACACTATTATAAATGGACCAAAACCAAATACACGCCACCTCCAATATACATTGAATTAATTGCACTTTCATCCAAGTACCCATACACCACTCCATACATAAAATAAAAACAAAGACTTGTCACAATATCACTAATGCCAGCTTGGTACTTAACGTTATGTTGTATTTTTAAAATCCATTTGTAATTTTATCGGTCCATGAAACATTAATATAAATTGATCAAATTAAAAAACACACCACCACCACCAATATATCATGAACTAATTGCGCTTTCATCCAACAACTCATGCATCATTCCATAAATAAAATAAATATATTAATAAGGATGAGAAGCTGGAATAACAATAAACAACACAACGAACACGTATGATTGAAAGTTTACTTTCTAAACACATTTGCAATTTCATCGGTCTCCAACATGACCAATACTAGTTTATTCATCCACCCTAATGTAAATATAGATTTTATATAGCTAGACGAGAAATGCTAAGAGGACTCTCTTAAAAATGGCACACTTATAAGTTCATAACTCTATATCATCTCATATTTTTTGCATAATACTATATAATGTTGACGCAATTTCATTGGGCTCCAATACCAAATTTATTCATCCATCATTTTTATATAAAAGCATAAAGCAAATGCACTAATGTCATACTATAATTTTTTTTTAACAAACGATATTATATACATTAGGGGAAAAAAAAGTTGGGTTTAGCCTCACAATAAGCTAGTAATAATGTAATTCACATTCCCCTACGGTGAAAATCAAACTTAAAACTTTTCACTTACAAATGAAAATAAATATCAATAAAAGTAGTACAAGTGACAATATACCATTATATATATAAGCTGAAAGCAACTGCATTCAAAATTGAAAGAGAAAGAGCCAATTGCATAGTGGTGGGTCAACCAACGACATTAAAATTTGAAAATATGAAGAAAAAAAACCACCCGTCAAAATTCTCATCTCATCAAACCAAATTGCAACCGTTGGTTCCCTTTCCATTTCTTTCTCACTACTTTTGTATTCCCAAGCAGCGTGGCCACCCCATAAATCTAGGAGGATCTTTTTTGTCGTATATTGTGTATTCAATTTTCGTTAGATATTATTTATGTTCTTCTATGTTGATGGATTCTACATTGGGGAGCTGCCAAGAATTAATTGATGAATTTAAATTGGTTTCCAAAATCAACACTAAAAGTAAAAAAGGATGCTGAGATATTATTATTATTATTATTATAGATTGGTTTCTAGAATTTCAGTTTTTTTTTTTTTTTTTTTTTCAAATGAGATGTTATGAAATTAGCCTGAGGGCCAACATCCAAATGGAAGCAAGTACTCTGAAGGGCTCTCCATTTTTAATGTCCTTTTAAAAAGACATTAACATAGGTGTTCACACGTTACTGCGAGTTTTAAAAGCGTATAAAACATGCAAAGAGTATTATGTATAACCATATTAGGCATGTATGAATATAGGTTGAATTTGTAAATTTTGAAGAATATCTTTATATACAGAAGAAGAAAATGTACCCTCTTATAAATTCTGAAAATATACTAAAAGAAGAAAGAAAAAAATATGAAGGCAAAATTGCGTCATAACGATGTATAATGTACATTGATTTTGAAGTGGATTGCATACAATTGTTTAATTTTCTTAAATTCTTTAAAGCATATTTAACCGATAAATAGATTCTTCACAAAAATAATACAATTACATTTAGTGCCTAGTAATTTTCATAAAATGTCTATTCACATTTGCTCACAACTTGAGTGATGTCTAAAACAAATGATAGATGAGGGTTATAGGTTATGACATTCACATTCACATTTGCTCACAACTTAAGGGTTATAGGTACATTAACGAGACTCACACAATAAAATAATTAACAAATTTGACATATGAAAATTCATATGTCAATCCACATAAGATTGACATATCGATTGGAGTTTACTTCTACCTTTAAATTTGATTACATGACATTTCACTTAGGATTTGTCATCTTCTTAGCAGATGTTTTAAGTGTAAAAGATTAAAAAATGTCAAATGCGTTTAGGTATTTTTTCCTTCGAGATACAAATAATTATGATTAGCAAAAGAATGAAAATGTCCCTAATGGACTGCAATTCAGATACAATTTGATTTGAAGCACTCAAGCAATTCAAAAAACGCTTGAAAGATGAAATTCAAACACTGATTTAATCTGCAACTCATTCACATGAGTCAAAGTATTTCGGGACTGGATTTTGGGCTTTGGGCTTTTGGGCTGAAATTTGAGAGTTTTGTGCTGTGGGTTAAAATTTGGGCTTTTGTACTAAATTTTTGTCACCCAATTTCATATCAATTGAAATTAAGTTTTTTACCTCATACCATCTAAGTTTCGAAGTTCCAAACTACTTAATTTCATACTCCTATTTCTAATATAGTTTACTATCAAACTACTTAAATTCAACACTTATGCATGCAACGCAACGCAACTAAAATATATATATATATATATGTCGGTTCGTTTTGAGATTCCCAAACCATTGAATACGTAATCCTAATTCCAGTACCCAAACATTCGAGATCGATTCAGTATAGAGTCTCGAAAATTTCGGTATTATCGATTTGAGAATTTTTCGGTATTGGATCGGGATTTTTTTTTTGTTTGGTTTCGAATTTTCGGTAAAAATTCCAGTGAAAAAAAATAAAATAAAATAAAAAATGGGACTTTTCAGCATATGGTATATGCCAAAAGGACAGTTTATACAAATAGGACAGCCCCACGAGACATTTTTCTTTTATAGCCCCTTGTTCAATGGAGTCTCAACGCGTTGGCTCCCCATGTTCCTTCCAATAATGGTTCAACTCTTTCATTCAACCTTGATCATCACCACCACCATATCACTCTTGCAGAGTTGTAGTAGTTGTAGGAAATTTTAGCTTGAGCTCATTTGGCCGATTCCTCGAGTCCGAATCTCCGAGGAGAGTATCCGGAAAATGTATGAGCCAGTTAAACATAGTATTCCTCTATTCATATGTATGGAAGGCCTCATTTGTACATGATAGACCTCGCGTACATGTTTCGAGAGAAAGGTTATAAACATGTAAAACCTTGTCCGAACTATTACCCATGCCCTTATAATATCGTACCATTGGAGAAAACGGGGCTCCAATCATGGTTTACCTTGCAAACCGGCGGGGGACTCGAGGCGTGGGAACGACTACATCTCGACCAGATTTCATCAAAGCGAGGCGATCCTTGATTGTGTTGTCAAACAATCTGTTGTCTGGATTCTCTGCATAGCAGACAAAGTAACTACCTACACAAGCATGTGGTAGTGCCATGGCTATCCTCGTCTGGAAAAAGCATCAAATTAATAGAAATTTGTTAGGTTAAGGTGTTAATTAGGTATTTAAATAACTAATAAGCAACAAAGATTAGAGAATTAACAAGTTGATCACATCGTTCATATGCATAAAATGAATAATAGAGTATGAAAAGTGACCAACCATAAGGTATCCAATGAGGAATGTAAGGAGGGAAATGGTGGCTGTGAAACCTTGGTGCACTCTAGCAGTCCAAGCCGCCACAATTATGACACAGATAGAGCCGCTGCAGACGCCGGTTAGGAAGCAGATTGAGCTGGTAATGTCGGAATCAACAATTGGTTCCATTTCTTGCCGTTCAAAGAGCTCCCAGGTGTCTTGTGATGCCCTCACAAAACCTTTCCCATACACTGCTATCTGCAGCAATTGGTCATATTGTGTTGTTGAAATATTGATCAGCTGGCAAAACTAGTATACTTTGCTGTGCAAAATAAGGACTCGTTTGGAAGTATTTTTAAAATGACTGAAAGAGCTTTTGGCAATGGTTTTTGGTACCAATCTTTAGCAAAAATGGAAGTGAATCTTGGAAAAGCACTTGAATTGCTTTTTGCAAGAAGCACTTGGTTGGTATGCAAACAGAATCACAAAGTCAATTGACAATGGCTTATAAATGTACCTGTATGAAGGCCCAGCCGTTGCCATATCTGAAGATGCACTCCATGACTTTGAGACAGCAATGTGCACAAGAAAACATGAACTCATCTTCTCCCTTGAGTAAATTTAAAGCCCGAGCAACAATTCTCAGTGCTTCAATTGAAGGTACAAAGAGTGAACCCAAACAAGCACTTCCAAGATTTTTACTCAAGGCTCTCTGGAAGCAAAATTGAGTATTAGATTGCATTCCTCTGAGATAATAAAGAGAAATTACCCTACTGACGGTCATATTTGCAACGTTCCTCATTACTTCAGCTATCCAAGCTAAGCTCAAGACCAACAAAATTATGATCAGTGGAGGAAAGTAGAAATTCAAGGCTCCTATCACAGCTAGAATCAACAGGGACATCCACAGAAATCCGACCCCAAGCATCCAATAAGTGGGTTGATTCAAATCGGGGAACTTTGATACGGGTTCGAGCGATTTGATCAATATCTTGCTACAAAATCCTATCCGCTGTGTGATCCAACAAGCGTATAAGCCATTGCCTATCGCAAATGCAATAAAGCAGACTGCAACGCCATCGGTGGGAGGCTTTTGGAAGCAAATTAGCAGAATTCCGGCAGATAGAGACATGACAAAAGTGGTCCATAGTATGAAATGAATAAAAAACTTAGGCCATAGCCTGACTGCCTTTTGCCATGCAAATGCAAGAACAATGCTTAAAAGAGATGCAGCTTCGACTTGTGGTAGAAAAAACTTCAACACTCGTTTCTCGGCTCTTTTAACCTTGTTGTCTGATGCTTCTATCAGCCCTTGAACTCCCTTGAACAGAAGGAAACCGACTAGCCCAATGGCTGCAACCATGTGCAGAAGAAACAGAAACAGAGACATCTTGTTGGTGTATTTTCTTGAATTCAGTGTTGTAAAAGATGGCTGGTCAAAAAATTGAGACAAAACCCATTAAAATATCAGATTGATAACTCAAAAATTCTCCCCAAAAAATTCATGCTCTACCAGATAAATGGCTGCCAAACTGATTAAAAATATTTAGGACCACAAGTTCTACAATTAATCTTTTTATGTCAGTGGGATCGGCTATATGAACCCTATAACGTCATTGTGCTCAGTTTTGCACCAAGTCTCAATCTCAATAAACAAGTCCCAGAAAAATGGCTTGTATCATTTCCTTTCCAAACTCATCAAAAGATATTTAGGATAAAATAACTTATTTCTCAAATTTTCAAGAATAAAAATGAGATATCTTTGTCTAATCTTTCGTAAACATCACTTAACTGACAAAACCTTATATCACTAAATGGATCGGCAATATGAACCTAGATTGCCACTGCACTCTGTTTTGCGTCAAGTCTCAATCTCAATAAACAAGTCCCAGAAAAATGATCTGTATCATTTCCTTTCTACACTAATCAAGGATATTTAGGAAACAAACATAAAAATCTCAAATTTTCAAGAATAAAAATGAGATATCTTTGTTTAATCTTTCTTAAGCATCACTTAATTAACTTGAAAATCACTCAAATTGCTTTAAAATTACAACTGAAGAAAGTTGGTATCCTAAGTCGTTTAAAAACTTTAATTTTGTTTTGATGAGAAAGATTAAAATAAAATATAAAAAAAGAAAGAAAAAGAAAACTTACTTGTGGGGTTGGTGTAGAACGAGGCTGAGAATGCTGGGGAGTGTTGGTGTGAGAGGCGAACTGAGGAGGGGAAGGAGTAGCAGTAGCACCACCATGACCACCACCAAAGCCTCTGATATTAGAGAACCGAGCCGGCGGCGGCGGCGGAGTTGCAGCTCTGGTTTTGCTATTTATTACAATTCTCAAAGGGTTTGTTGGATTCAGCCTCTGCAGCATTGACATATGAACATCTCCTTCACTCTCATTCTGATTGATATTATTATTTCCATGATTAGTATTAATATTAATGTTTCTCTCAGCTGCCACCGCCTGTTCTTCAAAACCCACCTCCCCTTCCTCAACATCTCTCACATCCTCCTCCTCCTCCTTCCTCCCATAGTCCTCTCTCTCCTCAAGCTGCTCTCTTTCTCTCTCCTCCACCTACATGCCACAGCAAAGTGGACCTTTTGGCATTAACTGAAATGTACACAGAGCTAATAAAAAACAAAAAAAATTTAAACAGCAAAAAAGAAATGAGAAAGATGGGTTGCTTTACAGGCTCTGCGGCACCCATGCCGGCGGTATGACGTGACACCGGTGTCAGCGGCGGTGGTGTTGTCTGGAATGTTTCGTGTTTTGTACGTATTTGTGTAATTATCTCTCCGAAGTCTATCTATCTATCCATGGTTGTGGTGGTGCTGTTACTGGTGCCGGTGGATGCTGACTCTTCTCTCCTATTTTTCACAAACGTAAATACTGACCTCAGAGGATCTGACTGTGTGGGACCCGCCCGGTCATAGCACAGGTATGGCTAACGTGCTCCAGTGGCGCGTGTGTGACTTTGACCAATGAGAGAGGGCCTGGTGGGTTCATGTCAGATTGAGGATGAAGCACGTTTAAAATAGAGTTTTTCTGCGGTTGGTGTCTGGGAGTGAATTGTCAAGAAAAAGCAGCCTCTACTGGTAAATGACCAATGTTTTCATTAAAAATACGTTTGAATATATAATAAAAAAATTAAGGATTCGTTTGGATGTTCTTTTAAAATGACTGAAAGCGTTTTTAGAGAAAATATTTTTTTATTCCAAAAGCCCTTAAAGTGCTTTATGCAAGAAGCACTTTCCAAAATATACTTGCATTTTTACTAAGAATTAGTTCTAAAAATATTTTCAATAAAAGAGCTTTCAGTCATTTTAAAAGAACATCCGAACGAGTTCTAAATGTTTTTTGAAAAAAAAATATGCAATATGCGCTTTTTAAAAAAAGTGCTTATGGAACACTGGTAACTTCTATGTGGAAGATAGTTACAAACACGGAAATTTTTCATTACTATTTATCAATCAATGAATGATAAATAGTATGCAATATGTGCTTTCAGTCAAAACTATTTATCAATCAATGAATGATAAATAGTACGCAAAATGTGCTTTCAGTCACAAACACGGAAATTTGTTCCATACTATTTATCAATCAATGAATGATAAATAGTATGTAATATTTTCAACAAAAGTGCTTTTAGTCATTTTAAAAGCACATCTAAACGAGCTATAAGTGTTTTTTGAAAAAAGTATGCAATATGTGTTTTTTTTTTAAAGTGCTTATGGAACACTGGTAACTTCTATGTGGAAGATAGTTACAAACACGGAAATTTGTTCAATACTATGTATCAATCAATGAATGATATGGGAAGAAATTACATACATTAATAACGAAATATTTCTAACAAAAAATATGAAAAATTAAATTTAATAATAAAACACTCGTAACATTAAATGTTGTGCAACATTAACCTTATAAACGTTTTTAGTTGTAAAAACAATTTTGGCCCGTACAAACACAATTGTTTCAAATTGGATATATCTATCTATTCTATTAAGAGCACCCTCATTGTCAACTTTTTTTCCTCTTTTTTTTTCAATTTTGCCCTCACTTTTTGATACACAATACTTATATAAGAAGGGCAAAATAGTAATTTTGTATCTTTTGAGAAAATGACAACCATATCCTCATTTTTCTTATGGGAGATTATATTCACACACTCCAAATTACTTCTTTCATACCCTTTTAATTTTTTAATAATTTTTTATCAAGTGTTAGTGGTGTGTAGAAAATATTAAAAAATTAAAAAGGTGTGGAAAAAGTAATTTGGGGTGTGTGAATATAATCTATCTTTCTTATTTTACCCTCACTTTAGATACATAATATTTACATAAAGAGGGCAAAATGGTAATTATGTAATATTAAGAAAAATATGCCCTTATTAAAAGATTCCATACTCTTTTTAAAAAATGTAAAAACTAATTACACTCCTTAATAAAAAAAACAAAAAAGAAAATGAAATTGTTTACACACAAAGTGTGTGCTCATCTTCTAGTACTTATAAATGAAATGAACATTAACTTATTCTGAAATATAAAACTATTTATTGACCTAAATTAAATTTATTACCATTTCTAAGGTAAATGATAAACTCACATTTTTGTTCCCCTTACACAGCCACTACAAGCCCATGTTTAATCTTGTTCTTTATTTTCGTTTAATTTATTCAACTTGTTGGCTAAAAATAAAAATTAGTATTTGAGACAGTAGAGAGGGTGTGTGAAGATATGCTGTTTATTTTCAAACAACCCTCAATGCATAGAGAAACTTTCTTGAAACACCACCGATAATATAGATAAGTGTCATCAGTTGTATGAGAAAATTCATTTTCATCTTCAAATGAGTTGTCAAATTTTAAACATAAAATTCAAATTCTGCAGATTATGTGGCACTTTGACATTTTTAAAGTTGTATTCTCCACTCTATATGTCAAATTAAACTATTATTTTATTATATTATTTTATTTTCAAAATTTCTGATTTATATTTTAAAAGTTACATTTATAATAACTCATGATAAAAAATGATAAAAAATGAAAACTAATGAAAATGACTTGAAAACTTTGAGTTTTAATGATAAGGACAAAATAAAGGGTAAAGTGAATAGTATAAGGATTGACTTTTTAATGTAAAAATGTAATTTTTCATTAAAGTGAACAGTACCTCGAGCTTTTCGTTAAAACTTTCTAATAAAAATTCTTAACAAGATATGTGTGCTGAAGCTGCAAATACGAAGAAGCTACAGGATGCGTGTTGCCGGCTTGTCAATCAAATACGAAGAAGCTGCAATGTATGTTGAAGCTGCAATTCGAGACATCTGCAAACTCATTGGCCATTTAAATTAATATAAATTCAGTCTAAATAAAAGCAGACATGAAACATCATAAACCCATTAATTAATCAATAAAATGCATTAAATAATTAATTAAAAAAATTTGAAGCTGCTGTTAATTTTGGCAGCAAGGGTGACATATGTCAATCTATGTCATGCCACATCAGATTTAAATTTTTGGTTAGAAAATATTGTTGCTGTCTTGTTTGAATGTTAGTGCTAAGTTAGACATTTTGACATCTCTTTTAAAAATAGTTGAAGGGTTTAGACTAACGGAAGTTTGGATTTTATGGTTGCGGAATTATTGGACAGATGAGATGAAATTATAAAAATGAGTAATGGTGGCATAAGAAGCAAAGCATTGACTTTTGTGTGAGTAAAGGAGAAAGAGGCGTATGCAAAAAGAAAACAAAAACCCACCTTTTCGTATGCTTGTATTAATGTTGCATGAAATTCCATAAATTGCTTGCGTTTACCAATTGGGAACAAACAAGCAAGCAAAGTATAAACTTAGTCCTCAAATTAATATAGTTGTGTTCAACATTAAAAAAAAAATGAAACCGCTTAAGTGGTGTTCACTCATTGGTCGCTCAAGTGTGTTAACACGAGGTTTATTTATATTTTGGTCAAATTGGATTAATTATTTCTATGGTCATGTGGTACTTGCATGATGACCTATATGGTAAAAAAAGAAAATTAAGATTTAACTCTTATAGTGAAAGACGGTTATGAATTTTAACTCAAAAATGTGATTTCTATTAAAAGTCTGTTAAGAGTAGGGGTAATATTGTATTTTCGGCCCCAATTAGCATAAAAAACAAAAACAAAAAACAAATAAAAATCATACTATTTAATTTTACAAGAATAGAAAGAGAAAAAAAAGCACCAATTGAGAGCTCACGAGTCACAACCGCCATAACCTCCTCATTCACGCCCAAATTCCCCATATCCCAAAATTCTCAATCTTCTTATCGCTTTGATTAGTGATAGTTCAAGGGATGGTTTATTGGTCTTTAATCTTAAAATTGTGGTTAGCTCGCCGGTTCGGATCTAAAGCAACGAGACACATGAAAACAAAGAGAGTAGACGAAAATGTTGAGAAAAGCGACGGCAACGGTCAATGGTCGGACCCATCACCAAAGTTCACGTTGTTGATCAATGAAGATGTTGGGGTGTAGACTGTGTAGTTTATCAGTAGGAGCCATATTATTATAACGATAATGTTAGAGAAATTAAATTTATAGACAAAATTTTGAAAATTAAATGACTAAAAGTTAATGATTAGTTTATTATTTAAGCATGATAAACATGTTTATTCATATTGATGACATATTATTTAATTTAAAATTTTTGTCTTTATATTTAGGGAACTTTAACGAAAAACTTTCAGTATTGTTCACTTTAACGAAAAATCATTCTTACACTAAAAAGTCAATTCTGGTACTATATAAAGGAAAACTAATGAAAATGGTTTGAAAACTTTGAGTTTTAACGATAAAGACAAAATAAAGAGCAAAGTGAATAATACCATGATTGACTTTTTAGTGTAAGAATGTGATTTTTTGTTAAAATGAACAGTACCATAAGTTTTTCGTTAAAATTCTTTATATTTAATCTTCCTAACAATACATGTATAATAAAGAAATACTTAAAAGGTGAACTCTTTAATATATTTCATCTTATTAGTCAAGACTAGGGGTGGATTCGGTTTAAATTGGTTCGGTTTTTTGCCAAAACCGAAACTAAACCGAAATTTCGATTCGGTTCATTTTTTTCGGTTCGGTTTCGGTTCGATTTCGGTTTTTTGTTTTTTTTTTCTTTTCAAAAAATGAAAAACATTGAAATTTTAAATTTTAACATATCCAACACAATCATAACATAAGCATTCTAACTAGAATCAAAGACAATGAAAATAAACATTTAAAGTTGAACTAAAATCATCAATCAAGTCTTCCAAAGTCCAAACTAACAACGTCACAACACAAAAATCGTACAAATGACTTAGAAAAGTTAAATTGTATGATGTTGTTCAAAGATCAGGGTTGTTTGCTTGTAACTGCAAGTTGACAACTTGATTAGTAAAAGTAATACGTGGGTGGATTTATTTAGTGTGTGTTGAATTCTTTTCCATCACAAATTACCCAAGTAATCTACCCGAAATAAATGTTTATGGATTATGTTACATGTTATATGAGAGTAGATTTGGAAAAGAAAGTTGAGGCAGAAGTAGACAGTGCTATGGAGATGGATGTAGGTACTTCAGGAGGAGGTTTGGTTCCGGAACCTTATATGAGGAGAAATAATATGTTAGGGTTTAGAGTTTTTATAGGCTTTTTTTTTAATATTTTGAGCTTAAAGTTTGGCAACACATTGGGTTTAGCACATTTTAACTTACAAATTGGGTTTAGAAAATAATACCAAAACAAATAATTAAATAAAAAATTAATTTAATTAATTCGGTTTGGTTCGGTTTCTAAATCACTAAAACCGAACCGAACCAAAAGAATTCAGTTCGGTTCAAT